ACTAGTAGCGATGCACTTGTTCCTAGTAGCGTCCTTGTTCCTAGTAGCAAGGCCAGGAGCTACAGTAGCGTTCTTGCTTCTAGTAGCGATGCCCTTTGTTCCTAGTTCTAACACAAGACAGCTTTCACAAGCTCTGAGCACTTCTTTTTTTGCGTTGTTTACATGTTTCTTTGGAGCGTCCTTTCTTCGACTTCACTTCCCCAGATAAGAATTCTCTATTTTCATAATGATCGTTTGGCAAAAATGCACAACAGATGGCCCTGGCAGTACAAAGACTACATGCACGACGCAGTCAGCTGCACTAAGCCACGGCATTCTGCCTCCAAACTATATAACACTACTATAGCTACATGTTGTTTTCATCAAAGTGTTATCCCTATGACTTACATTTCCAAAAACAAAGCAGGCATGCAGGAGATGACTCGAGACTCACATCCCAAGCCCTTGTTACTGGTAGCGATGCCCCTGCTACTAGTAGCTTCTAGCTATAGCTACTAGTAGCGATGTCCTTGTAGAAGTTCTTTTCCGATTCTATGTCCATTCTGCTGTCCAATTAGTGATGCCATTCTGTCGGTTTGCGCAGATGCCTTTCTGCCGGGACGACTTTGTTGGTGCAGATTTGGAGCCTCGAATTCTCCAAGCTTTGGCAAAGTGTGAAGCCAAGCAGGCACGAGCAAGGACGCTACTAGGGGCTCCTGGCATCGCTACTAGGAGCAAGGACGCCACAGCGGAAGACATGGCAGGTGGAGGTGGTCTACAAGGGATTCAATCCGACCTATGACTCATTCAGTGCAATGCATCATGCTGCAAGCAGAAACTTGGCGCTTTAAAAGAACACGAATCGCACAATGGCCTTCAACCTACAAGTGATGGCCTCCACAAGTTCTCGATGTTGGATTTGAATTACAAGCGAGAATTCTCAGGCGATGAGCACGAGCGAAACAACACTGGCGCATTTGCTTTGGAAGAGAACAGAAGTCGGGCGTGCCACGGCAAGTGGGAGGTCAATGCAACCTGTGGGGATTCTCAGCACCAACCCAGCTCTTCCGAATTGAATTGAATTGTTGTTGCCCGAAAGCGAAGAATGTTCGTTTAGCTCAGGGGGGGTTGGGGGCCAGATGGTCCTCGCTCGGTGTTGCTTAGCTTCTGCAAGTATGCGTAAGCGTGCCCAACCATTTTGGATGGATGAACAAAATGTTTGAAGCAACGTGCAAACGAGAGACACACAATCACAAAGATTGTCGCACAAGGGCACTAGACAAGTGTCACAAAAGAGTGTGCCACAAGAGTGTCCTGCAAGAGGGTTACAGAGTTTGTGACATTGATTTGTTACAATTAGGTTCGCATTACAATTAGGACGCCACTAGGGGCTCCTGGCCTTACTACTAGGAACAAGAAGCTACTAGGAACAAAGGGCATCGCTACGAACGGAGCAAGGACGCTATTGAAGGCCATCGCTTCTAGGTTGGAGGCCAACGCTATGGATTCGTGCGCGGGTGTTGCATTCGGGATCTTGGGCTCAGATTTCTGGACCTTCGGAACTAAAAGGAGAAAAGAATGGAAGAAGAACAAGAAAAGAAAACAGAAACCTCATAGCGGTGGCCTCCAACCTACAAGCCTTTTTTCATGTCAATGTGGAGAGCCTTATTGCCTTGGTCTGTTTTACTCCAAGGCTACCCGACTGTGGAGCAACTTAAGACAACAGGCGAGTTGCTGTTCAGATTGAAGTCAGTTTCTCCCAAGAACCTCAACTTGTTACTAGTAGCGTCCTTGTTACTAGTAGTAAGGCACTTGTTACTAGTAGCGATGCACTTGTTACTAATAGCTTCTTGTTCAGATTGAAAATGATGTTTTTGCAAATGGTTGTTGGTGAGAAAGACCTCAGTTTTCCACGTTTGACGCACCAAATGTTTGCCAGATGGTCTACGCAACTTCTCGTCAATTTTGATGACAAGGGGAATTAAGAAGATCCCCGGCACAAGTTTGCCTTAACTTTTTTTTTGTGTCTTACATTTGATAGAGTCATGTTCGCGCTTGCTGAGGATCGTCACAGTGGGCTTGGTCTACGATTATTGTGTGAAGGACACTGATCACAGCAGCTTCCTGTGTAGAGTTTTTATTGAATAATATGGAGCTCGCCGCGAAGAAATAGGAAGTTTCATGAAAGTGAGGAGACAGCAATCTTCACACGAGAGAACATGCCGGAGATGGAGGTCATTGTACTGAGCCACCTTACCCGACCAAGTTTTGATGGAAAGCCTGGGGCCGTTTTGCTGCAATAGTTTCGACCGAAACGCAATAGGGCACATAGAAGTCGCCTCGCTATCAACTGCGACGGTGGTGGGTGTGCTTTGCAGTTGGGTCCATAGAATGGCAGTTCACCATTTAAACGCTAAATCAATCTATCAACCATTTGCAGAAACATGCTTGACCAGTAGATCCAAATTGCGTCATGAGGCTCCTTACACCGCTGCTTTGTGTGATGGCCGCGACTTGGGCAACGGTAGAGTTCTCAGACTGAAGCGGAGGCCGAAGAGGTAGGGAGAGGTAGCGAACTTACTTAATCTACCGACTGGACGCAGGATAGCCAATCGCTATTCATTTGGTTTCTAGATTTTAGGTGGCGCGCCTTGTTGCATGCTCTGGTTTTCCCAGGCTTTTGTTCCGAAGGTGGAGGCACCAAAGCCGCGTTCCTTGGGCCAGAACACAAAGCCACAAGTCAAGCTTAAACCCGAAAGAAAAGAGAGGAAAGGTCCGGAGAAAAGAAGGCTTGGGAGAAGCGATTGGTCTGAGCGGTCTGAGCTGCTGAGCATTTATCGTGTCTTCATGAAAGAAGAGGATGGTCTGGGATCGTGTCCCCATGAAGCGTCATATAGTAACAAATAGCACTGGCCTCCCACCTAGTAGCGACGGCCTCCAACCTACTAGCAATAGCCTCCAGTCTGCTAGCATTGTCTTCTAGTAGACAGCCTGGAGTTTGTCCTTGGCCAGTGAGGCACCAGAAAGTCCTCGCCGATTACAAGTCCAATGATGTTGCCTTTGTCCGTGAGAAGCAAAATCAATATGTAGAAGACGATTCAAAGCAATCTCAGGAAGACGAGTAGTGGAAAAGGTGGTTGAGCCAAGCATAAGAAATCTTGGCAAAGCAATCATGCAAGGTTGTTTAGAGTTTCATACACCCATGAACTTCCTGTAGTGTAATTCCTAAGAATAAGTTCCTTTGATGCTGTGACTGCATTCGTGTGAATCGGTTTCATGCTAGTTGCGCTTGAATCAGTTCGAATGGACACAGCTTGGAAGACCCTGTCCAAAATACTTTCAGCAATCCATCCAGCTAAATAAGACCTCGTTTTGTATCATTGATCATTTCATCCGGCGCTTTGCAGAACAGCAAGAATCGAAAGAGGTTCTATTTCAAACAAGGGACACGGTCAGACAGAAGTAGTACAGGAAGGGAACAGACAGGCCGAAATGTGCTGATGTGTTTTTTGCAGCATGATGGCATTGGAAGCCGTGGAGACTCGGCAGAAAGCAAAAGTCACAAGTCGCATGTGACTTTGGACTATTTCAACAAGCTGATGAGTGAAAGCCAATTGGCCAAGGTTTGAGATAGAACGGAGGAACCTACTGCTTCCACTACCAGTTATAAAGCATTTGCTGTTTGCAAACATTCGCATTGGCTTCTTCGAGCTCACGGCTTGAGCATGCCGAAGTCTGGCTCCCGAGACTTCAAGTCGGTTGGATTTGGCAATGCTTTCATGTCGTATCAAGGAAGAATTTAATGATTTTCTCCTTGTATCGTTTGCATGCTGCTTTTTGAGCTCATGTGGAACCGCGCTTCTGAGCATAGCTTGGGACCCGGAACGCTCTTGCGATGTCCGACAGTGAGAAGGTCCTGGCGAGTTTTCGCAAGTTTGATGCGGATTCGTCTGGTGCGATCAGCCGAGAAGAGCTCGGAGAAGTGCTAAAGGCGACACGGACAAGAGAGACCAAGCAAAAGAGAGGACGTTTGGAATCTCTAGAGAGGGTGTAATGTTGGTGTTGCTTGCTAGTGACTGTAGTCTACTTCTACATTGTGCTTGCAGATCTTCAAGCTGAGACCAAACACAAAACTTAGCTGTTGGAGGCCATCGCTTCTAGGTTGGAGGCCATCGCTAGCAGGTTGGAAGCCATTGCTATTGTGTTGCAGGCCATTGCTATTAGGTTGGAAGCCATTGCTAGTACGTTGGAGGCCATTGTTATTAGGGACCAAAAACATTTTTCAGCTTAGGGACTTGAACAGCCCTAGCCGGCCAGGCCTTGGATGAGGGAGCATGGAATGATGAGTCCATTGATGTTTTGCTCGCACAAGCCGATGCCAGCGGCGATGGCCAATTGCAGTTCCAGGAGTTTCTGTCGTGGGTCTTTGCAGAAGACCAAAAGGGCCTTGGTGCTGCTACAGGAGACTTCACCTTGGTCATTACAGGATGCTCTCGCGAGTCATTGAATGGTGAGTATGCGCAAGTCAAGGGAAAAGTCTGCGGTGGTCGACCGGTCTTTCGCTGTGCCGCAAACAACAAAATTCTCTTCTACCGCCGCCAGGAAGAGAGGTGGCAAGTCTTCCACAAACCAGGAAAATTCTCGAGTTGCCGCCTGCCCACCAAACGCGCGGCGCACATGGCAGGCGATGCCAAGTGGATGGTGTGGCAGCCAGAGAAGAAGGCCTTCGAAGAGGAGAGTTCGATGGAATGCAAGATCCTCATTCCCGATCGCAAAGAAGAGCTCGCAAAGGCACCAGATATCTTGCGACCCAGCAACACTGCACCTTATGGCGCCTTCACAAGAAGAGGCTGCTGGATGGTGGATCGACGTCCACTCTACTTTTGTGGCGAGGATGATACGTTCCTGATCTATTCAGAGAAGGTGCAGACGTCTGATCAAAAAAACTCTATGTTACAAAGTTGAATAGAAATGCCTAGACAGTATTTGTGTAGAGTGAAAAGCTCGAAACTTGTTGGGGTAAAGGCCAAGACCTGCACCTTCTGTGCACCCAAGGTGCAGAAGTGGAAGATTTGCAGGATGGCCAAGGAAGACGACGGGACAAGTGATGGTCCTGTCGTCGCTGACAGGGAGAACCTTGAGCGTGAAAACTTCGACTATTCATTGGACTACATTCCGGGCTACATGAAGAATGGCAAACGTGCTATCGACAACATCAACACGGAAAAGCTAGATTATGAATACATCAGCCGAATCGGCCTCGGCTATTCTTTTCCACTTGGATGGAGTGAGCAGACAACATCCTACAGCCCGGCCAAGGCCACGTGGCACCACCCAGAGGAAGATTATGTGATCACATGGGAAGCAGTTGATCCTACACCGAGCCCAGACCCAGAGGCAGGCTGGATTGATCCAGCCTTTCCTCATGACTCCTTTAGCCTGGGTGATCCAGCCAAAGTGAAGTTTAAAAGGTCGGCCTGGGTGAGAGCCATTCACTTGTGTAAAGACCCTGTCCTTTTCGGGGATTTGGAACCAGCAGATGCCATTCAGGGCGCAATGGGTAACTGCGGCATGGTCGCAGCGCTGGCCGCGCTGGCGGAATTTCCTGAGTACCTCAGCTCGCTCTTCAACACAAAGGAACTTTCGGTGGATGGGAATGGCCTCCACCCTCAGTAGCGATGGCCTCCACCCTCAGTAGCGACGGCCTCCGCCGTAGTAGCGATGGCCTCCACCCTTAGGCCTCCACCCCTTAGTAGCGATGGCCTCCACCCTTAGTAGCGATGG